AGAGAGCCCTCAAACCATAGGTAAGGTGGAGCGGCACGGCGGCATCCCAAAAGCGATGCTTAGAAAAACCCTGCAGGAAACAATGCCCTCAAATATTGAGGAGATGGAGGTAGTGCTTTCCGAATGCGTAACCGCCAAAAACGAATGTTTAGTCCTGCCTAGCATGTGCTCGGAAAACAACCCCGCATACCCGGTTCCCTAACGGATGATTGGGACTTACCACGCTCGTTACGACGAGACGAGTCCGTTCTATCTGCGCCACCGTGCCAGAGCAGAAGCACAGAGAGCGTTTGTCCATTTGGACACATCGCGAAAAGTCAAAGGCCCTCCAGAGGAACGCAGCACCCATAGACGCGGAGTATAGCGTGGGGGATCTCGTCATTTATAGACGAGACTGAGACAACGTCCCTGGGACGACAGCAACAGTCTGGTCGACTGTGAGCCGCGTCATAGGACGCGAGGCGGAGAACGCTTATACTGGCTACTGCACGAAACCGTGCCAGTGTTAGTTAACGCGCGAAAAATGCGCCCTGCGGACGGGTGGAAGTCGCAGCACACCGGGTCCTCACCGGAGGTGGACTGCCGACTCGGTCACTGCACCGGCGACTCCCAGGCCACACGTCGCTGCGGCACCCAGTACTTGTGTGCCGAGTACGCCAGTTGTGACGAGGCGACCTGGAACGCCGATTCCAGGAACCCCGTCTTGCATCTCTGCCAGAGAGAAGACGGGCGAGGAAACCAGATCTAGGTCACCGCAACCTCGAGGTCACGCCGCAATCTTGCATGAAGACTTAGAGCTTCGGCCATCGACCGATCCCGTTGAAGAGCTGGCCACCGCTTTGCTAAATGACAACGTGTTCACCTCAGACGCATGCGCCCTGTTGTTGCAGTTATACACGAAATACCAACATGGAGTGTATAAACGCCCATTATTCGGCAAAGATGGGCATGGTGTTTTAGCCGCCACGCTAGGCGTATATCGCCATGGAGGAGTGGTAGGAGTCAGCGGGGAGACGTGGTCACGCCCATGCATGACTCGGTACTTAAACGCCTTCCTTCATGCTCGATGTACCGCGTCAGGTTATGACGCACCTTTGTGGACGAGTGTGCAAATCACCAACCAGGGTGCAGGAGCGCATAAGGACACGTCGAATAGGCCTGGAACGTTTAACTACGCTATAAGCGTAGGGGATTTTTCCAATGGTGAGCTATGGATCGAAGATCCCTCAGGACCCGTTTCTGTTCAGGTGCAAGGCACACGCATGAGAGGGAATGTATACTCTACGAGAGATGCTGTACTTAGGTTTCAGATACAGCATTTCTGGGTTCACCTTGACGGACATGGGAAAGCTGACCCAGCAGGATCTCGATTTTCTATCGCAGTTAGGATTTCCGTCCTATGCTGATCATTCGATGCGACTGTCTTCGGAACCTACGATTCATCACGCAGCAGAACAAATTAGCAGATTAGCACAGCCGCTGAACCCAGTGCGAGCTAACAGATCGTCTGGGAGACGAGCCCCGAGGATACTCGGGAGCATGCCACTGCGCATATGGCTAGCCTCATCGACTACCATAGAGCGCCTGTCGCGGTCCAACTTGGCCTAGATAAGGCCATGGAGGCCGAATGGCAGAAATATGTGGAATTCAATGCTGTTGTGCCGTGCAGTCGTGCAGAGATGTTCGAACTCAGTCGAGCGGGCCACATATGCATTCCCACAAAGTGGGTCTTGACCGATAAGAACGAACACCTATCGGGCACACCTGGGTATACACCCAAGGGGAAGGCGCGATTGGTAGCTTGCGGAAATTTTGAGCAAATGCATGGCGAAGATATCCGCGCCGACTCTCCCACCGCGGAGCAGGAAGGTATAGCGCTCATTTGTAGCTGGGCCGTGTCCCTGGGTTTACGCCTTAAAGCGGCGGACATAACTAATGCATATTTCCAGGGTAAGCCGCTCGAAAGGCTGCTCATACTGAGGGTGCCGAAACATCCCAAGAGAGTTCCAGATCAGGAAATACAACGAGCGGGATTCATGATTGCTCGGGTGCCAGTTGCCAGTTTACGGTACCACTGACGCCGGTCGCAATCTTTACCTCCGTATAAAGGAGAGTTCACGAGAGCTTGGCCTGAAGGTTTCTCGAGTGCTTTCGGCGTTATACTTCCTCATGGATAAGAAGGAACCTATGTGCGGTCCCGTGTACGCATGTCGACGACTTTCTTTTGGGCCGCGCGTGCGGAAGGAGAAGAAGCCATGCAGCGTCTGCTAGACCGGCTCAAGATTGGCCGGGTGGAAACCGACAAGTTTCGGTTCTGTGGTCGCGAATATACGCAGCACCTAGACGGCACCATTGAAATCAATTGCCGTGATAACACGAGGGCTATAAGGCCCATCGACATTCGCAAGGACGAGAACGGCACCACGCCGGTGTCACATGCCCAAAGAACGGCTTTGAGATCAGTCATTGGTTCTTTAGCATGGGTCGCACGGGCTACAAGGTCTGACTTGGCGTATCGTGTAAACGCGCTGCAACAACGCGTTACGACTGCCACAGTCGAAACTCTGCGCGAGGCAAATCGTGTCGTTGCTTTGGCACTCAACTGATGCCGACCGTGGCATAGTCTACCGGGCTCACCTCCCCTGGCAGCCCGGAAAACTTGCGGTCGTCACATTTTGTGATGCCTCTTTCGCTGCAGAGCAAGGCCATAAGTCCCAAAGAGGACGGCTCCATTACTATTACTTGACTTCACATGAAGCAGCAGCTGATGGTAATGCTAAGGAGCATCCAATGCGTTTGATTTCCTTTAGCTCGTCGACTATGAAGCAAGTGTGTAGGGCAACCCTCCAGTGCGCAGCCTACTCTCTGCAGCATGCCACCGAGCATGGCGATCGCATACGTGCGAGTGTACTCGAGCTACTTGGACAACTCCCTGCACGCGGTGATTGGGAAGACGTAGCACGACGAAGCCTTTTGCACGTCCAATACACGGACTGTCGCAGTTTATCTGACCATTTGTTGTCTTCTGTCCCGAAGCAAGTGGAAGACAAACGGTTAGCCATAGAGCTACCTGGCCTCAGGCAGATGCTTTGGGAGGGAGATGAACTATCCCATCAAGCGTTTGCGCCTCATGGAGACATCTTACGATGGATCCCAACGCACTTACAGCTGGCGGACTGCCTGACAAAGTCCATGAAACCTCACCTCCTAAATGGAGTCATAGCGTCAGACACTGTTACCGTGTTGGTAGATGTACCCACAGCGGTAGCAGCATCTACTGAGGAGGACGTTCAGGTTGAGTATGAAGAACCGCCAGCGCCCGAACTCCGACACCGCTCGGAGGAGCATACTGAGCTTCCTGATGAAGCCGGGGAATAATTCGTGCATTTGGCACGGTGAAATCACAGCGTGTGTAGACGCGCCGTCACGTCGACCAACGTCGACTGACTCGTTTTTTTACGTCCTGCACGTTAGGCTACCACACCCAGCTACACGACAGATAAGACGGGTGTGAAACTACCCTGTCGGATGTCGAGTGCTTTTAGGGCTCCGTGTTAGCTTACGTTGGTAGCAGCCTGTATAGTGTCAGTGCTAGGATGTCATTAGCTTTGAAAACGTGCGTACCGCAGGCGCCTTGAATTCGCAGCAAAAATACGGCTACTTGTATCGTGTCGGAGCGTTCGGAACCTGACTTCAGCTTCAAACACTGTATCAGAAAACTGCGTTTATTGAAGCATTCAGAGCAAGTCATTACGTATTCAATATCTTCATGCCTCAACCCCAATACCAGGATATCCATCCCTTCATCCCTACTAAAGCTACCATCCTAGAAGTAATGTTAACACCTATCTCAGTGCCAGGCACCTAACAAGGCAAGCGGTTCCTTGTTGAAGTTGGTTCAAGGTTGGGGGGTTAAGGGTTTGCGCTCTCCCAACTCGGACAAGCCAGGCGAGGTCTCTTGGCACGCGGGGTTAAGGGTCCAGCGTCTAGGGAGTGACGGGCACTTCAGCAACAATTCTGGCACTTCTTCACATGTCATGGTGTCGTGTCAAAGGGTAAGACCTTATTGATCCACTGCCACATCTTGTTTTGCCATGCGCCCATGCGCTGCCAGCAACTTGAGCTGCCAGCGAGGCATGCTGGGACTACCACGATCCACCTGATGTGCTGGATGCGGCCCAAGCCACTGAAACACCTACTACATAAGAGCCAAGTCCCCCGCACCATAAGAGTGTTGAAATGAGTTGAGTTCATAATTGGGTTCGCTAAATCTTAGCGCATGCAAACACCTTTTTTTCATAATCCCGCAATATGAAAAGTTGTATAATTTAATCATGAAATTACAATGAAGCACAGTATATGAGTTGGCCTTGATGCATATAATGACCGCCCGCTCTAGTCTAGCCTAGGGTGGCGGCTGGGTGGCAGGGTGGCAGCACTGTCAGGTGGACTTTGCGATGTTGGATCAGGCTGTGGATCAATGTAAGGGCGTTGATGGAGCAGTGGGCTAGCGAAGAAGTTGCAAAATCTGTTGAGTCTTTGCGGCTACAATGATGCGATTTTGGTGGGTGAGGGCTGTTGTCATAGTCGTTGAAAAATTGGATGCTGAAGATTTGGCCGCTTGGGGGCAAGTGGTAGGCTATTCGCAAAAAACAAAAACGAGGCTGGAAGCGTATGCTCGTTGAGAAAATATTTGGTGATCCGGGAATGTGGGGGATGAAATGGTATGCTGTTGGAGAAAGAAGGTTGGGAAAAAAGGGTGTGTGAGAAATGTGGCTTTGGTTTGTGCATGTGCGCAGGTTTTTTTGTAAATGTTGCCATACACACATATAGGCAAGGTGTGGTGAAACTGTTGATGGGTGTAGGGCCAACTTTGGCTGGGAAGGAGTCTCAGGCTCACAGGCCTGCGCTGAGTTCCTTAAAGCCAAGTTCGGATAAGCTCCATTGGGTTCAGATCCGAAGCGTCAAAAGCTCTCTCTCTCTCTCTCTCTTTGTCTGAGGGCTGCCAGCTCTGGGAGTGCGTTCTGGAAAAGCGGCCTTGGACTCGGGAAGACGCTGAAGCTTGATATTTTCGTCATTTCGAGGCAATCAGTGGTGTATGCAGCTCTAATTACTTGCATCTGCCCTGAAGCTGCTAATATATCTATGTATATATCTATATCTATATTTTTTTTTTATATCTATACATATATATATATGTGTGTTTATGTATTTGTTATTTGAAAAACAGGAAGTGCTACATAGCACACGCTACGGGTTATGGCCCATTATAGGTTGCATATTATATACCTTAACTTAAATTACAAGTTACATGTTGTAAATATAAGTATATAAATACATAGATATAAACAAATAAATAGATATATGTAATTTATTTGCTATTCTATTCTGTTCTATTCTATTCTATTCTATTCTAGCCTATTCTATTCGAATTCTATTCTGCTCTATTCTAATCTAATCTAATTCTAGCGCGACACTGCCATGCGGGAGCCAAAACAATTCTAATTAATTCAATTCAATTCGAACATATTCTATTCTAACTCTATTCTGCTGTAGTATAGTTTCGTTAGTTTCGTATGGTACATTATGTTACATTCGTGAAGCCGGCTAATCCGGTCTTGCAAACAAGCAAACACACACACACAGCCCACTGTCCCACCCAGTGCGACCCGCGTCGTACCGTACCGAGCGCCGGGCCGCTCACTCTACGAGCTACACTACCGGTGGACCCCAATCTGGGCCCGTGCTTGGTCGACCTGGGTAACTCTGCCAAGCCTACAGGCTTTCGGTCCGCCTCGCACGCCGTGGTAGGCCACGGGGTTGCCAAGGCAAAGGAGGAAGTCCCTTCCGCGTCTGGTAAGGGTAAGGGTGGACCCGAATGTGACGCACTCCGGGACAACCAGTAGTCGCGCCACGGCCATCCCGTTGGTCACGGCAACCAGCGCGTCACTCGCTGCGGGGGCCATGCCCGATGGCCCGCATTCCGCACAAAAGGAGCGATGCATGGAAGAGATGGGATATCTCCTGGACTCCGACCCAAACGGAGATCTCTACGAACGACGGCTTGAAAGCGCCTTCCAGTTTGTTGCCAAGAACTTCGCAGGGCCAAAGAAGCAACAGGAAAGGACGGATTGCGAAGTGGCAGTTCGAGTTTGCCCCGCTTGTTTTCATCCGACTCCTGCTTGCTTAGCCAGATGCACGGCTTGCTTTTCAGCTTTCCTGACGTCTGGGCGTTACCAGACTGTGGCACCATCACGGGAGTCTCAAACTGAGGTCCCGGCAAGGGAAATGCCGAAGCAAAAAAAGCGTGACGACAATGCTACAGTCGCTGAGCCGGAGCCTGGTGATGAGATCCTCCCTCCGGTGGAAGAGCCAGAACAAGAGCAAACCATTGATACTGACGATTATGAGTCATGAGCAGGAAGCTGATCTTGATGGCCGAGAACGTCAACCTATTCTCGTCAATGAGAACATCAGACACATCGACAGCACGGCCACCAGGCCACAGGTGGCGCTGCAGACATCGTATTTCCCCAACAGCAGGAATGCTATCTGCGTCGATGTGCGCTGGCTTGCCTACACCTACATGAGCTTTGCTTTGTCTCGATGCATGCACGGCAACTGGCTTTCATCAAGTATGTGAAGTTCAACTACGTAACATCGCCAGGAAGCTACGGCCAGATTGGGGCAGCGGGTAGCCTGGCAGGCCTGGACCCAGTTACAGGCATCAGCGCGGAGGTTACCGACGATCCCAAGTGAACCTCGAAATGAGCGCACATCAGGCATAAGGACCCCGACGGCACCATGTTCTTGCGAAAGTTCCGGTTGTCTCAGCTGTTGCCAACCCTCATTCGTGGTGCCCAACTGCACGAGGGACGTGTTCAATGCAGAGAAGCACAAGAACAGCGAGAACACTTCGTCCGATATGCATTATACATTCCATGCATTGGTAGGGGAGCAAGTCAGGACAGGCAAATCCTGGAGGATGAAGCCGTCCACGCGGCCCTTCGCCAAATCTAGAGGCTCGCCGAGCTCGCTTGCCGCTGCTCTGCGTATAGCAGGGTGGCAGTGCCCACGCTGCGAAGAGTGGAGCTTGTCCTATACAGACGTAAATGCTATAAGTGCTGCGCCAGGTCTTCCAAAGCTGGCATCGTCATGCACGGGATGCCGAACCGGAACGGGGGACGCGAAGCTCTCGAGGAGAGCGAGTCATCGGATGACTCCGCGGAGATCGAACTCCAGGAGGAGAATGGCGAGATGACATCGCCCCCTGTTGACGAAGGCCAGGGCCTGAACAAAGCAGCGAAGGGCGGTAAGGGCCAGAAAGGCAAAGGCAGAGGAAAGGGCGGAGGCCGCCGAGCCGTCGATTGGTACTGAGCAGGCGCAAGTAGTTGCCACTCAGCCGTCGGCTGACCGCGGCACTGCCTTGGCATTGTGCTCAACCGCTTGGCCCACGCCTTCAACGGCAACACGTACGAGGTGGTGCGGGACAGGCGGTTCCCACAAGGTCTCTGTGGAATCATGGCGTACCTGACGGAGGGCAGATGATGCAGACACTGCGATGTCAATTGCGCCCGGGACCGGCGCTTCGGGACGCGCGTTGGGAGCCCCTGCGGAGGACATCTCGCGGGCTGTGCTGAAGGGATGTGCTGTCCTTTCTTCCATGAAGGAGTCGGAGTGCTTTTTCCGGCTTGGCCGCGCAAAGATGCAGCCCAGTCAGTCGGCTTTGGCGGTTCCCGCGCCCGCGCCCGCAGCAAAGAGCACAACGCGGTGTAACAAGACGCCCTCCCGCAAGGAAGCCAACGTGTTGCCGAACACTTTCGTTTCTGCATCACGCAGGGAGCAATAGCACCGTGTACCCGCGCGCATACAGCTTTGACTGTATGCAGGTCATGGAGGCTGCGAGATCTTGCGCCAGTTCGGCTTGAGCCAGGATCCCGCTGACTATTTTGCCGCGAACGCAACGTTCGCAGTATCTGGGGAGGGCCACCTGCTTGGCTGGTTACAGACGTCGATGTGGTGTGGGAAGCATTGGGCAATGGCAGGACACATGACCGACATGACCCTCACCGGGATGCAGATTCGGAAGTAGCCAACTCAAGGTGTTCATCATCTCGGCTTGCACAACGGTTCAATCTTTTCAGGCCATTTTGCTCAAATGATGGCGCGAAACATACGGATGTGAACTTCAACATGTGCACCCGTTTCTTTTCTTCGGTGACCTTCTTGCCCGCTGTGAGTGGAGCTACAATCGGCTGTAGCTAATTACTTCTTCAGCCACAGTTGTTGCGTTCATGCGGAGTTCGTAAACTGTTGCCTTGTACGACCCGAGGATCAGAGTCGTAGTAGCTTGAAAAAGCTTGAAAAGACTGCATCTCACAGCTCGTATCACTCGAGTTGACAAGGCTTCACACCCTCTTGTGTAGGGCCTCTGGCACGACGCACGAGCCGGAAGATAGTCGCGATTAAACGCAATTATGATACTCTGCAGCAACTACTGTGATTGTTTGTCAAGTTTGTATTTCCCAATTACAAACTCGTGACACGGCAAAGGCGGTGACACTCAGGGATACAAGAGTGGAGCGAGTGACACAGTTCCAGATCTTCTGCATCTACAACACTAGCCGCTAGCTCAGAATTGGCTCAAGGTCAGGTGAGCGATATATCAGGACCAAACCCTCACGCATATCAGTATATAATATTCATATATGTTGCTTCACTATTCTATTATTCGATTATTTGATTATTCTTTATTCGATATTATAAATACAAATTCAATCTAAATAAGTAATAGTATATATTATACGCTATACATCTTGTATTGTATGAGGTCCGAGACAGACAAGTTCGGCTTTTCCCACTGCAGCGGGAAGAAGGAGTACTTCAAGGCAGCGGAAGCGATGCCGGCTTTCTCCGTGCCAGAGAGCAGCCAGGCACTGGGCGTGTCGGAAAATGCAACAGATGTGGCGGGCCCCGAGGCGATGGGGAAACTCGGAATTCGTAGAGCTGCTTCCAAAAAGCCTTGAAGCTGCGATGATCTCAGGTTCTCTTCATTCGCAAAGTTGGCGGCGAAGGATTGCTCTTTTCATGGAACGAGGCACCTGTGAGCAATTGAAAATGCAGAAATGAATCTTGGCGCGTGTTCAGCTTTTGCAGGCGCACCCAGATGCCGTCATCCAGCCAGGTTTCGGATGATTCGTCTGATTCATTGATTGTTTTGATATGCACTTCTCGATTTCGTGAGGCGACCGGATCAGCAAAGTCAACGGGCAGACATCTGTAGATTCCATGGCTCAGGACGTTTGGGGTTTGGATGAATTCTTTCCTGTTCCGTTTCCCTGCGCGTGATCTGCTCTGAGGAGCTGCGATCGCCGGACTCTCAGAGCCGTTTGTGCAGGGAGGTGGCGGTCATACTCGCATCAGCAAGCTGTCAATGTTGTGTTTTAAGCAACGTCTTGCGTATGGCTGTGCGTCCGATCTCTGCCCTCAGTGGCAGGCCGTGGCTACCACAACTTGTGCTTGCGTAATGTCCCAATGTCAGGAGCAAGGTTTGCATCGAGGTGATGCGATACCCAGAGGAGCTCGAGACTCAGAGGGCAGATAGGCCAGCAGATTGCAAGACAGTGCTGATGATGTGCTTTTTCCAGACGGGAACGTGGCACAAGGGTTTAGGGTGATTTTGCCGCCGACTTGCCGCAGACAGCTTTGCATCCTGGACCGAGGTTCGAGGTGTCTCTTTCCAAGAAAGCAGATACCAACAAGAAGTTAGGATTCAAGTTGCGCCCCCAGGGGCAGACTCAGTTGGCTTGCTGGAAAAAGCATGTTTGCGGTGGTGTGCACTTCGCCCTTCAAGCCTTGGAAAGGGAATAAGGCTGCACAAGGCAAAACAGGTTTTCAATGTCCAGTACCGCTACCACTACACTTGCCACCGATACTGATGCTGCCACCACTACAATTGCGACGACAACGACTACCATTATTACTTCTGCTGCTGCTGCTACTACATTGTGCCAGCAATCTAGAACACATACTTGGAAAATAAATCTTGGTAATCTGGGTGATCATGCAATCTTGGTCAATCTTGGTCGAAAAGCAAGATTGCCAGCCATCTTGCAATCTTGTGGTCATCTTGCCCTGCTTGCTCCACTTGCTCGTCGACTAGTTTACTTTTTAGACCAAGATTGCAAGATTGCTGGCAATCTTGCTCCCCCCCCAGTGGAGCAAGTTGTTTAGCAAACTTGTTCAAATAAGTGTTCTAGATTCTCAGCACACTTTTCTGCTGCTGCTGCTGCTGCTGCTACTACTACTACTACTACTACTACTACTAGTACTACTACTGCTGCTACTGCTGCTGCTGCTGCTACTACTACTACTACTACTACCACTGCTGCTTCTGCTGCTACTGCTACTGCTTGCTGCTGCTGCTGCTGGTGCTGCTACGACTACGACGACGAC